CTTGGTGAAGGATCGTCAGCATGTGGCGTCAGATCGAGAATGTCGACAACAACCTAGACCCGGGATCAGGTGCGTCCATGTGTTTGGGGACAGGAAGGGCTTTCAGGACGTTGAGTTTCTTCGCCCCTTTACAGATGGAAAACTATTGGGAGTTGAAACCAGCAGTCCCCAGCAGGCCATATCCTGAAAAGAAAACACAGGCACCCAGAGTTGAGTGGAGTGGTCAGAGGACGAGAATGAGGGTGAACTGGAAACGCAATGCGGGGGCCCAAGGCATTGAGAAGATGATGGTGGCCAACAGGCCTGATGAGATTGAGCTTGACGAGGTGGCCTACACAGACAAGATGTCACTGAAAGACTTCCAATTGGCATGCAAGGAACGAAATTTGCGCTACAGTTGGAGCAAGGGGAGGCTTCTGGACGGATTGCTTGCATTCAAGATCAATATCGGGAACAAACTGAAACTGTCCATCGCCAACAAGCTTTTCCAGGAACAACGAAGAAAACCAATTACACTTGGCCAACCTAAGTTGCCATCCATGAAGGAGCAGGAGGCGCACTTCGTGACGCATATCTCCTATGCCCCTTGGTGCCAGGCATGTGTGGCGAGCAGGGCAAAAGAAGACAAACATGAGTCTCGAGAGGAGAAGGTCGATATGGGCAAGAACGTGATTCAGCTGGATTTGTTTTTCGCTTACACTGGTGAGGGCAGGAGGCTTGATGAGAGACCCCCAGACAAAGTGACAGAGATGTCAGACCAGTTTGGGACATAGACAAAGGCGATATACGTGGCGCCAGTCCCGTCACAGGGAACAGCCAGCTTGAAGACGGTCACAGAGGAGGTCATTAGATTTTGTTTAATCGGCCAGGGAGATTCAGAGAGAGAGAGAGAAAGATACTTTGACCAGTTCACCAGGTCAGAGCTGTCATGGGCTTGCCTTGCGAGATCAGGTTGACGGGAAGTGGGCACATGGGTCCAACGGACAGGCTGAACGAGGAGTCTAGACCATTCGCAAGTTGGCTAAGTGCCTACGATCTTTTGTGGAGATGTAGCAAGGTAAGCAAAGTAAGGCCTTCATTCAGATCGGGGGCAATTTCCATATGTACCCTTGGTCATTTCGGTACGCCTCATTTCTACTCAACCGCTTCCGTGTGCTTGAGAAGATTGGCCGCACAAGCTATGACTTGGCAACAGGGCATGGCTATAGGGGGCATTGTTTGGAGAGACTGTCATGTTCCCGAAGTTGGTCCAATACAAGGGTAACAACACTTTCCATAGAGGCATTTGTGTTGGAAAGAAGCAATGGAACGACGCCTATTTGATCTTGACCCCGGAAGGAGCTTTTGAGGCTAGAACCGTTCGAGGACATGGTGATTGCAAAAGGCTTACCGTGGAGCTATTCCCCACAGGGCATCATGATGAAACATGGAGGCCAAACCCAAAAAGGTACAGACAGCCAATGTCGGAGACAGACGCAACTTAGGAGGAGATGAGAGCTGTCACTGAAACAGTTACAGCTGGGGTGGTGACACCAGCCTCAGGATCAAGAGCGCAGCCTATGACACCGATTGACACCGGGCGTCATTACAGCGGCGCCTGCGCGACGGCAAAGGAGAACAGTTGAGACAGATGGCAATGAGGAGCCGAAGAAGAGCGATGAGAAAAGGGAGAAAGAAGTGGTTAAAGAAGAAGGTGAAAAGAAAAAAACACAAGTTTGCCATCAGGGGTCGTGAGAGAAAGGGAGGCAGACGCAGAGGCTGAAAGACCACCTGCATCACCGCCTAGCAAGATAGCGAGGCTGTATCCACCTCAGCATGCTGGTATTCAAACCATCGAGGCGCATGGTGATGAGGAGATGGACGGTGAGTCGATTGCAGAAGAGCTCAATGAAGAACTGCTTTATGCCGATGAGGAAGAGGATGAACCCCCATCACCAGTGACGAGGCGCCTCCAGATGATGGAGGTGGAAACCCGGAGGAGGCAAGTCAAGAAGAAGTAAGGAGCACAGACGGCTACATCATCTCGAAGCATCGAGTCGAGCAAGACTGGTGGCAAGGCAGCTCAAGAGCAGCATTGACCTCGAGCAGACCTTTTACACCGACCTCAATGCTGGTACCCAAGCTGCTCATTCATTTGCTACTCAATGTATGCAAAGGCTTTGTGCCATGACATTGGATATCAAGGACGCTTTTTGATGGCAGAACAACCCAAAGAAGAGAATGCATTTGTAGAGCTGGAAGGCAAGATCTACTACAGATTGGTGCGATGTTTTCCAGGCCAGATAACTGCGGCCTCACAGTGGTTCAGCCTATTTGCCGAGACAGCAAAAGAAATTGGATTCATCCAAGATGTGATGCAGCCCACACTGTTCATGAAGCACATGGAGGTTTATATCACCGTGCGTGTGGGCGACGTGTTTATGGTGGGAAAGGAGACTGCATGCAGGAGAAGATGAAATGGAAGGTGGAAGAGAAGGACCATTCCGCATGGGTGAGTGATTCCACTACTGTTCAAACTGCTGAGTGAGCGTTGTGATATCAGATGTGACTACAAGGAGTATGAGGGCATATCAATGGATGTTGATGTCTGCAAGAGGCTTATTGTAAGACACCTCTGGAACAGAACGTAAAAAAGGACACCACCGAAGAGCTCCCGGGTGCAGATATCACATGGTTGGATGCCTCATGCAGCACTCTTTTGGATCCAGCAGAAGGAGAAGGAGAAGATTTTGTGAGTGGCACCAATCCCATCAGAGATCACCTGAGCAGATCTTTGGGACGCAGGACCTGGCAAGGACGAGGTTTGTGGGATTGCTCTACATGCTGAAGATGGTAAACTCGATTGGTGATAGAGTTGGAGAGACTGAGTACAAGGAGATCGAGGACAACCACAAGGTGAAGCAGGGCATGAATAAGATCGGCAAGTCAAAGCACGTGATGATTTGCTTGCTGATGCTTTTGTCTACGCTGGGCAAAGCAGTTGGTTCGAGCATCAATGGGGAAGTGCAGCTATGTGTGCGCGCATGCGTAGGAGCCTTGAGCGTCTTCCAGTGGCTGCGGGACCATGTGGCACGAGCAACAGTGACCTTTGGGAAAGAGGTTCAGGCATCCTTGTGGCCTGAACACCTGTACTTTCAAGAGTGCGAAAGGAATTGAGAGAAACCCAAAATGATTGCGCAAAGAAAGGCCTCTACATCGAAGAGTTGGAGGCACAAGTGAGAGATTTGACCAGCAACTCCAAATCGAGAGCAAGGGTGCGGTGCTATGGATGGATGACTTGTTTGCGTAAGACCACACGTTTCAGCAAAGTTCATTTTTCCTCCGTATGTCCGCGTTGGACTGGAGGCATGGGGTATAGAACCCCGTTCAAAAATCAAGAAGATCCGCTCAGTCACCATTTGAAGAGAGGGTGCGCTCGCCGCTTTTCCATAGTTGTGTTGAGCTTAGGGCAGGCATGGGCGCACATACATCATCATCATCATCATCACCATCACAACTCCCATGACACGTTTTGGCTCAAGAGCCAAAAGTGGACAGGGGAGTTTCTGTCCCCCAGGGCCCGCCCAGGTGAACGGACTTGGAGTATCCCTGATCCGGCGGTGATTCGCCTCACGGGAGGCTCTCCACCTGTGGATGCCAGGTGGGTGTGAATCTTGTTGCGTGTTACATCCTTGGACTTGAGGATGTGGGCAACCAGGGTGGAGTACTCCATTCTATTTTTTAGGGTGCGTAGGCAACCTGTTGATAACGCAAGGATTAAAGAACCGAAATCGCGAACTTTGCTGTTTGGCTTTTTATCGTGCACAGTTCGGTAAGGTCAAGGCACGGATTGCATTACACTTCTTCATTCTTCACCTGGTACACTTTTTTGGCCGTAGTTCGTTGACTTCCCATTGCAATTTCCACCAAGCCATGATGATGGTGCATGCGCAGGCATATACTGAAGAGCGTGCAAACACCGCTTTCAATCCACACGCGTGCGCTTTTGGATCGCACCTTCGGCTGTGAACATGTTTGATGAAATCGTTGGCCAAGTGCAGAGGTTCTAGCCGCTCCTGTAGCGTGTGGCTCCAGACACGGCCGCCGTTGTGTCCAGCTTTGCTGCCGGTTCTATTGGAGGTTTGAAGAAATCCGAAACGAACACGGAGTCCAGATGGGCGGAACCGGAACTGCCAGAATCAAAAGCCCGGTGACGGCCTCGCTGTTTGCAGGACGGCTGCATTTCTACTTGCAAGTTTTGAGGACCAGGCCAGCGGAGCGCGGCGATTTTGAACCAAGCGGGCTTGCGAGGGCGGTTGGAAGATCCGCAGTTGGCAGGAGTGAACACACCTTCTTTTGTAGTAGCAAGGACGCTGCTAGTAGCAAACGAACATCTCATAGATCATTCTTCGTTTGGCAGTGCGCACGACACTTTCCACAGTCCCACCTCCCTGTTCGTGCATGTGTCTAGCTAAATTTGGTCGAAAAACATGCGGCATTCAGAGGCGATTTGCCTAGGTCAGGTTGGTGCCCAAATTCCCTCACAATCCCCGCCCCAAAAAGAAGCTACAAATGCAACTCCAACCGTTTTTTTGTGGTTATGACTGCCTAATGACTTAGAACACTCTTCTCCCAAGACTGGAAACCCTTCCCAGAGAGCACGCGACGAAGAGGTGCCACGGCCGTGGCTGTGAGGCTCAGCTGAATGACTAGCTTCCAGAGGCCTGAGAATGCTTTGAAACGCTCAGAGGAGCTCCTGGAGGCGCGGGAGCTCGGAGCGCTCGGAGATTCAGGCAGGAGCTCGCAGGTCAACCCTTTTTCATCGGATTTCAGTGTTTTGTCATCACTGAAGCTAGTGCAAAGTCCCCACTTTTTTGGTTCTGGATTCTTAGCCACCTTTCGTTCCTTTTAGTTTTATCCCAAGAATTTGGAGAAGATCCGAAGCTTCACACAGTCTTGGTTTTGGAGTTTTCCTGCCGCAGATGGGTTCTCAGCATGAGTTAGCATGACTATTCGCCCAGAATATGCCAAAGCGGTGATGCCTGGCATAGGTGAGGGGCCGGCGGGGCCTCTACCTCCTCCACCGCCCATGCCACCCCTCCCTGGAATGGTGCCACCCCAGATTCCAATGCTAGGGAAAGCGCCCGGTGGAATGGCACCTCAGCAGCTTTTGCTCATGCCACATCCGGGGCTATTGCCAGTGGTGCCCCCACCCACATCGGCACCTCCCGCACCTGCGAATTCTGGACCTAAGGGTGGTGATGCTGTACCTGCGAATACCACAGGCAAACAGTTCCCTTGGGAAGGCACCAGCGGAATCCAGTGCAAGTATGGCCGGGCCTGCAAAAATTCGCAGTGCACCGACACACATCCCACTGGTCGGGGCATCGATGAGGATCCGAACAGTACCATTTGCCGCTTTGGGCGAAAATGCAAACGGCAAGGTTGCTTCTTTGTGCATCCACAAGGCCGCGAGGTAGATGATGATCCCTCGAAAGGTCTATGTCGCCAAGGCGTTGCATGTAAGCGTCCTGATTGCCTGTATTCACATCCAGAGGGGCGAATAGTGGAAGGTCAAGAGTCACGTGCTTGTCATGTGTGCGGCATTGCCGGTCACTTGATGAAGGATTGCCCCAAGCGCCGGGGTGCTGCAGCGCTGCCCCTAGTTCCTGGCCAGTACGTGTCTTTGACCGATTTCCCCTCCGATTGGGAGTCCAAGACGACCGAGGAGCTCACAATCCAAATCACGGAGGAACTCGAGGTGTTTGGAGACCTTACACTTGCGCCAGTTTTGATTGATGGCCACCGAAAAGCAATGGGAGTTTTCGAGGATGAGGCCGCAGCCAAAGCCGCTATAGAAGCCCTGGAGCCCGTGATCACTATTGAACTGAGTGACCCTCCAGTGCAGAGCGTTGCAGACGGGAAGCCTGGCTCAATCCTCGTGCAAGACTTCCCGAAGCGGTGGCAGGCTTCAGATATTGGTGCGCTACTTCATGGCACAGTCAAACCCAGTTCTCTCATCGGCATGGTTCTTAGAGTTTTTGAGCACTTGCAAACTTGTGAGACCAAAAGTCTGATGTTCATTGCGATTTGTGACAAAGTTGGCCCCTGACCGGCTGACAAGAGTGACAGGTGAGATTGTCTGAGAGAGTCAGCCAGGGTGAACTCAGAGAGTAGTGGCAAGAATGCTCCCAGTAGTAAAGCCAGGAGCCCCTAGTAGCGTCCTTGCTCCTAGTAGCGATGCCCTTTTGTTACTAGTAGCTTCTTGCAACTGCTGAGGCATTGAGATGGTGCCGGGTCCAGGTGAAGATGAAGGTGGCAGCTCAGGTGGTGCCCGTGTTCGCATGCGCGACTTTGCCACGGCCAGAGAAGCGGCCAAGGTGCTTTGAACGGTTTCCCATTGCAAAAACGGGGCGAGAACATACATTCTTTCCTTTTTCTCCGTGAATGTTGATAGCTCCAAAAAGAATGGGAAAAAACGATTCAGCTGAGTTTGCCCGTCATAAGTTGCGTTTTGCAGAGTCGCCCATGTTGCACAGAGGAGCTGCAGGGACAAAAGGTCGCTGGGAAGCCTTTGCATATCACCTTGGATGCTTGGACGATGGCTTTTCTTCTTGTTGATCTGTAGTTGATCTCTTGTGCTGGTGGTTTAGATGCAGAATGACTACTTCTTAGTTTGAACGGTGAAATCAGAGATTGGTTCGGTTAGTCATCTTGCTAGTTGTCAGAGTTCAATTGAATTCAACTGGCATGTTATTCAGCTCGGGCACCCACTCTGTGCTCGACATGCCTCAAGGGCATGCTGCCCGCTTGAGCTGTGCTGGCGCTTGAGCGCATCATTGACTTAGCATGGTGCTCAAACGCTTGTGCCAAAAGTTGACATGACCCCGGGGGGACTCTGGTCATTTTCAGGGTATCTCAGTGTATTTCTGGTGTCGGGCAGACACACTGACCGTCACCTGACCTACTACGTCCTACTAGTGTGTTTAGAGATGCCAACTCCGCTGGACTCAACACATTGAACCTCCAAAGCCCTGAGCAAGCCTTTGGCGGGTAGCCATTTAGATAAGCTGCAGTGTGGGAAGGACTGTTTGGCGCTCTAAGGAAGATGAGGATGGCAAATCTCATGAAATTGATGAGAACCTAGACGCAGAGATGAAGAACAAAGAGTACCCAGATCGCAGAGTAGATGGAATAGAGATGTGCCAGGACTACCGAATGGATCGCTGTACCCGTGGTGATCGCTGCAAGTTTTCACACGGTGAAGATGACAGCGATGAGAAAAAGGCGCGGCTAGAACGAGAGAGACGCTAGGTTCTGAAAATAAGTGGCTGATTTATGTACCTGAGTAGTCCTAATTGAATACCAATGTAGTAAAGGGTAGTGATTCTTTTTCTTGTGATACGGGTGATGGCGGAGGCATGTTCAGCAAAGAATCCACCGAAGAATAGTTACTTGTTACTTGATTGAGTTCCAACGTGGTCATACCCGTTCAGGACAAACTTTCATTCCGAGAGAGGATAAGAAGACATGTAAGGGGATGTAAGAAGGCACGTAAGGGTCTCCTCAAAGGGGGGCCCAACATTGTTCTTAGAGCTTGACTTAAACATGTTTTCAACTTCAAGTTGTTCATATTAGGTTGGAGGCCATTGCCATTAGGAGCAAGAAGCTACTAGGGGCTCCTGGCCTTACTACTAGGAGCAAGGACGCTACTAGGGGGCTCCTGGCATCGCTACTAGGAGCAAGAAGCTATAGTAACAAGAAGGCTATTAGGTTGGAGGCCATTTTGTGCTTGTTGAGATCTCCTTGCCTGGCTTCCAAGGAAAACGCCGCGATGAGAAGGACCGAGGTGAGCGACGCCGGCGCTCGCGCAGCCGCAGCCGCCGGAGGTCACGGAGCCGCGGCAAGAAAGCCAAGTGACTCGAGAGAGCTGAGCCAGTTCTGGTGAACATATTTTCTTTAAATGATTTTGTGTATATATATATATATGTGTGTGTGTGTATTGTTTTTAAATCAATCTATGCATATAGCAAGTGTTTCTTTAATTCTTTTCATTTTCCTTTAGACCTTTATAAGCCGCCACTTACTCTATTCCTTTTTCATGCTGTAGTATTGGAAGATGTTTCTTGTCGCCTATGCACTTCAAGTTGCCAGACGCTGGACCTGTTGACCTCCAAGGATTCACATCATCCACATCGATGAATTGAAGATGACCAATCGACCAGACGTAGAGCCAGCTCCAACAGATACAGAGATTTTCTCTGATCCATTGCCCGAGGAAGATCTAATGGATACATGCCTCAATGCCTTTGGATCTACTGAGGAGATTTATGTCCTACCTTCCGGTCCCCGCCGTGGCTACGTCAAGTTCAAAGAACACAGCGCGGCGGCGCGTGCCGTGGAGGCGAGGAATTGGGATCGTAACGGCATGGAAACGGGGCACGTAGAAAGTTCAGAGGGACAATCGTGGAGGGCTCCTGGTCGGTGAGGTCCCTTTTAAAACAAGTCTGACGGTGAAGTTTCCCCAAAATGATACAGGAAATGAAGCATGGAGCCTGAGTCCTTCTGGGTCCAAGATACTAGTACATAGCTACTTGAGCTTAGTGGGCTCTTAAGCCTACACCTCCCAGCCCCCAGTGGCAAAAATATTAAACAATCCTATCTGGGTCTTTCTAAGAATATCCTTTTTTCAAAACAAGAAGCTACTAGGGGCTCCTGGCATCGCTACTAGGAGCAAGAATGCTGCTAGGGGCTCCTGGCCGTACTACTAGGAGCAAGGACGCTACTAGGAACAAAAAGCGCATCCTTGGACTTTCTCCTTTCTTGCCGACCTTGCCAGGCCGGCTTTGGCGTTTGGTCGGAGTCCGAGCGCGTCTTGTCGTCTCAGAGATCCAAGAAGAATGATGGGACGATCGCCACCTACCCCGACAGCATCATCGCTCGACTGGTTGGGTCGCGTGGCGATGGGATCAAGAAGCTGCAAGAAGAGAGTGGTGCTGCTTCTTTGAAAGAAGATGATGCGTTCGACGCGTTTGTTTTTCTAACAAAAAGCATTTCACAAGCATGTCCCAGATCCATGCCGGAAGGACGCAAGTATGTACAAGGGTTATGTTTTTTGCATTCTTGAGGAGGAATGCCCTGTGGAACCAGAACGTTAGCCGCTGAAGCTGTTTACTGGAGTTGCCCCTTTCAACACGATTGTTCTCTGGGGCAGAAAGCTGCTAGAAGCTGCATTACCACTAGGAGCAAGAAGCTACTTGTAACAAAAGGGCATCGCTACTAGCAGCAAGAAGCTACTAGTTACTAGTACTGTAACTCCTGGTATTCTTTTCATTGGTTCAGTGATCCAGGTGAGTGAAGTGTCAAACTGAAGACAAGTGTCAACTGAAGTTCAAAGTATATAATGCCTTTTGCTTTTGAACTTTCTGGCTGGTCAAGGAGTTGCATGAAGTCAACCGCCAGGGCAGGGACGGGTAGGGGAGAGCTTGTTGTCATATGATGTTGGTCAAGTACGGATTCTTTCGACTTGACTCATACATGACGCTACTAGCAGCGATGCCCTTTGCTCCTAGTAGCGTCCGCTCCGTTCAACTGCAGGTTTGGATCCACCTCCGTGGGGAAGACTTGGGACATTCCGACTACAAGTTCTCCAGCTCTCAGCGGGTACACTTTATCGCTGAGGCCGCTCGGCTCGCGATTTGGTCGTCGCTGGCCTCCCTGTTGACCATCCGGTGAGGTACTTTCCAATTCCATTGCAACCCTAGATTGCCCGCCATTGCAGCCGTTTCAGCCATTTTTGGGATCATTGGCGAATTGGCATAGCATTGGCAGTGAAAAAGTCACTGATACATATAAGATGATGCGAACGCACTTCAATGCATTCCGTGCACTGCGCAGGCCGATGACCATGTGGTGCCCAAGTTGAAGGAATCATTGGAGCGGAGAATGTATGACATCCATGAAAACATCATCCAAACCCTTAAAGAGTTGCTTGGCAAATGCGTACAAAGATCCATCAAGTTTAAACTATGCATTGGAGCAGGATTGGAGGTATTCCAATCATTCATGCTTGAGAACTTGAAGGAGAAAGCACACAGATACTTTGATATCGCTCGCTTTCGACCCGAGGAAAGGCGGCATTAGACAGAAGGAGTTGGACCCATGGCCTCCACCCCCAGGGTGGGGTGTGCCGGGTTGGCCACCTGATCCATGGGGTGCGCCACCACCTTGGGGTCCTCCACCCGGATGGGGTCCACCGCCGATGTGAGATCCGGAGCCTCCGGAGCCTCCGGAGCCCGTGTATAGGGAGCGCGTCAAAAAGGGAGGCGCGCGAAGCACCAGCGAAAAGCCGGTTCGTCTTGTGAAGCTGCGCGAGGTTTACTTGTCCATACTCTTCTCTAAGAGGCCTTTTGTTGCAGATTTCCATCGTCACTGTGAGACCATGTGCACAGGGTACAGACTTGGGATGTGTGCGAACAGGGCTCCATTGAAGAGTTTATGTCTGGTGTTTGAGAAAACATCACGTGTGAGGTTGGAAAGCAGAATGAGGCGTTGGAGACGCTCCATCACGCAATTTTGCACAAGAGGTGGAAGAATCAATGGTCGGGGTTCCTAGAGGTTCCTAGACTCTAAGGGGCTGGAAGACTCGCAGTTTTGAGGGCGGTCTTCTTCTCATTGTACCATTTGTTTTGACAGCTCGATTGAAAGGGGGCGGACGTGACTAGACTAGACTATACTTATTTCTACCCTCTATATACAACTCTTTCCCTTTCTTCCACTGTATTTCAACGAGGCAACTCCTCCTCCTGTTTTGTTTTATCGTTTCTTGTGTTTGTTCTTTCTTTCTCAAACTTTCTCCACTCTATGACTCTTTGCCAGACCAAACTCACAACGTCTAGAACGCACAGCTTTTTGACAGGTCTCCCACGTTGGAAAAGATCATTGAGCGCCATCTTCAGCTTTGCTACACCCTCAGAATTCAAGTGCTGGAAATCATTTTGTGTGATGCCTTGCTTTCTGAAAACGGGGTGTCCTGCCCTAGTGTTGATAGCAACAGATCCACTTTCACTAGCTGGCAATAGCACATACCCGCTGGGAAGGAGTAAAGGAGACCAGGTGAGTGTTCAGCACATTCTATACCTGCATCTATTGCACCTAGTGACAAGGACGCTACGCACGGTGGAGGCCATCGCTATTAGGCTGGAGGCCTACGAACGTAACAAGAAGCTACTAGTAACAAGGACTGACATCTTTTGCACAACGCAATATACGTAGCGGCTCATCATGTCACACCACAGCTCTCGCAGTGAAGGATAACCCTTTTGTTGTTTATGCTTTTTCAATTGCACAATGCAACAAACAAAAACATAATACCAAACAACCACAAAATAAAAACAGCAAAACACAAAACAACTGACTGTTCTGAGGAAATTTGGGCGGAAGTCAAGAAAGTTGTTTCCTTTGTATGTGTGTATTTTTGCCTATTGATTTTTGCTGTTCTTTTCTCCACAAACTTGTTCAGAACTGTTATTGAATACCGTCTTTTTTTCGGCTACATAGAAGAGAAAGCAAACCGCAGCAACAAACACCAAAAAATAACAGCTGCATTTAGTGCAATTGTTTTTGCTTGTTTGTTACATGTTTAGACTATATTTTTGTTTTCTGGTTTTGCTGCCAGTGATTCGCACATTCCTTGCTGTTCTGACGTCACATCATTGAGGTATATGTTTGGTGTTCATGATCTAGATTTTTTCGGACATACAGAGACATACAGATGGGCAGCATGCAGCGTGCTCACAATAAGTAATCATGAAAAGGGTGGAGTGGTTGCTTTCCGTGAGCACGACCACTTGCTGTGAGCTGAACTTGCTGCGAGCTGAGTGATGACGGTGAGGTGTAGAACTTCAGAAGATGCGCTTTGCTCGGGAAGGCGCGGAAGAAACTTGCGTCGCATGCATGCAGCTTGAAGTCCCTTCCGCAGAATGGAACAAATTCATCCTTGTGTAACACGAGGGCTGGGTGTAGGATGCAGTGAAGCACGTCCCCACGATTCACGTCACTCATCCGCACCGTTGGCGTTGCTCGGTCCTAGGCCTTCATCAGTACAGGGCCACCTGCCAAGCTGCGAATATCCAGTCCTTGGAGCAGGTCGGTTCCAGTCTTTTGGCCGCTTCTTTCGTTTTGGACGTTTCTAGTAGTAAAAGGTGCCTTACTAGTAGGAGCAAATAGCTACTAGGAACAAGTGCATCGCTTCTAGTAACAAGTGCCTTACTAGTAGTAACAAAGAAGCTACTAGTAGCTAGGGCATTACTACTAGGAGCAAATAGCTAGTAGGTTGGAGGCCATTGCCATTGGGCAATTCAAAAGCTTGCTTGGCCCTTTCCAAGCTTCCGTGGGCCACATGGTTTGCTTACCCTACACAGGGTTTCTGGTGACGACCAGGCGGTCTTAAGCAAGTTCTTCATGTGCCAGGTCGTTCGGGTCTTCCGCAAGGCGGCTGAAGAGAAGGCGACCGCTGCCGATTCAGCCGATGCCTTCAGCCGACTGTATCGACCTGTTTGTTGTGCCTTCAGGTGAACCAAGCAAAGAAGGAGCAGGTCATGTGGGCAGATTGATGGGATGGGAAGTGTCGCCGCGCATACAGAATATATTTATATAGATGTGTGATTCGATGTCCGTGATGGATGTAGCAAGCTGTAAAATTATGAAGTCAAACCTGCTTCGAAGTGTTTGCATGTGAGTGAGAACTCCCACGATTTTTTGTTACGCTTAGAGACTGTTCGGTTCAATGGTGCTGAATGTCGGGGCGCTTGTCAACCTTTTTCTTCTAGCTCCTGAAATCTCCAACTGCTCTAGTACTCCATCCTAATAGCAACGGTCTTCAACCTAATAGCGATGGCCTCCAACCCTCTCTCTTGCAGGTTGTCAACCTTTTTCTTTTCCAGCTACTCTAGTTTCATTGCTTCACGTTGTTACCGGAAAGGTAGCGGAGACTCATGACTGGGTTTCTTCAGGATGTGAGGCTGGGCAAGGTTGCAGACTTGGAAGAGTTGGATGCGTGACTTGGATCTCCGAGCTTTGTTTTGCGTGTGCTTAGGGCTTAGGGGTGGTCTTGGTCGAGTTGGATGCTTTGTTTTGCGGCATCTCCTCAAGATTTTGTCACCGCATTGGGTTCGGCTCACCACTCATTGGCACTTTCAAATCGTGAGTGAGGCCGGAAACAATCCTCCTTGCAGCAATCCAAGCTGGCGACACGCGCCAGCAAAGCCAGGACTCCACAAGTTTCGTGAAGGAATCGGAGTGCAGTTTTGAGCGGAGCAGCGGGAAGCCAAACGTTTGGCTCTTCCTGTGAGCTTGTCATCCACCACCCACTAGCACTCAGATGCACTTAGCGTTGTTTGATTCTATTCAGTGGGGATTGGGCACGAAACCACACTTGTGTACCCCATTCGGGCTTGCAATAAAGCATGTATCCAATGATGGTAGGCCAGAAAAGCGAGGACTGTTCACAAGTAATGCCCTGGATGTCGTAGAAAGAGGCTCAATTCAACGACGCGTGGCATGCGGGTACATAGGATCGTATGAGGGGCAAACAGTGCAAGACAAGACTTGATCTGGAAACACGGTTCTTGGAAGGCACAACCTACTAGTGATGGCCTCCAACCTACTAACGATGGCCTCCAACCTAATAGCGATGGCCTCCAACAAACCTGCTTTTGAAAGGCCCAATCTGCAAAAAACTATTGTCTCCAATGTCGTTCCTATAGAATGTCAATCAATCTGTACAGTGATGTGGCAAGAAGGCACGGCAGCCGTCGGATGCTAAACAGATGTGTGAAATCTCCGACGAAAGGAGGTCAGTGAGTTTTAGCAATGAATCACGTGCATTGAGACGATGGGGAGTGGCCCAACGCAGTCTCTACCAGCTTTTCCATGCCCAGCTTACCTGACCTTCGCCAACTGAAACATCGTAAACCCAATAAACCAATAGAACAGGCTTATATAACAACAACTAACTTATTGCTGTCAAGTGAGGTACGCAGTTGCCTTCAAACAGTCAACCTTGCGCCGTTCTTCCACATGCTTTAATCGAATGTGGGTCCGTGCGAAGTTGCACAGGACAAGGATGTGCACACGCACTTTCGCTTCTTGTGGGAGACCTACAAGGCGAGGGACGGAGCGAAGTAGGCAGTCTCTTACAGGCCTCTCCCAAGAATTGAGCTCCTCCTGTGGGTTTTTTCAAACAACTGAGCCACTTCACAGGAGGAGCTACCTGAAGCTTCAAACCCGACATTCTAGACTGCATGACATTCGTTACGTTTTGGCATGATTATAGTCACAATGACGTAACAGACAGCAAAACCACAAGTTCACTGACAAGCTGCCAGAACAAGACAGTGACCATGCATAATCATGTGCAAATGATACGCACAACGGCAGGTGCTTGTCAATTGTTCTTTGTGGGGGCGGTCCAAACGCAACCGCGTCGGGCTGCAGTGACCAACAACAATGCGGCAGATAAGGACAGGAGAAATGGCAAGCCATAATGGCAGGCAAGAATGACAACATCAAGGCCAGGGAGAAGCCAAACAGACAGCAATCACAAGGCACAATGAGTAGAGCAAAAATAACCCCTGTGACAAGATCAAGTTTACACGAAAATCGAGATACCCTTCAGAAGGCACCTAGGTCGGGTGTTTTTGTTTGGGTAAGTTTTTGTTTTGCCATGGGCATGTGAGCCAACCGTAGCGAAGATGGCAAACCATATAGAAAACAACAGACCCCGAGAAGGCTGTTTGTTTGGTGTCTTTTGGGATCCAATGTTCCTTCGCAATGATGAAAGGTCATTCTGGACGTGCTTAAGTCGAACAGTCGGCTGGAAGAGGCTGGAAGTGACGCTACTGCGTGCGCCCATTGCAATAATGGCCTCCAACCTAGAAGCAAAAGGAACCTAGTAGCGATGCCAGGAGTCCATAATAGCTTCTTGTTACTAATAGCGATGGCCTCCAACCTAAAAGGACCAACATCAAGATGTGCATGGGCACAGTTGGGTGTTCGCGGCCTCGATGCGTTCGGTACCTTTTTCATGCGTGTTGAAGTGGTTTTGGCTGCAGAAGAGCTCAGGGTTTCACCTTTTCACCTTGGTGGTTGGGCAGCACCAGGTCTACCACGAGACTTCTCGTCAAGCCTTTGAATTCTGCCGTGCAAATACGAGACCTCAAGAGCCGTCAACTCAGATCCTGGACATGCAACTGGTAACGAGGTGCA